TCATATATCTGCTTTAATTTCGGCTGAAAATAAAGACAACCGTTGTCCAACGTTTGAATATTTGGATATTTTGCTGCTAATCTCTTCCTTGATCTAAACTTTCGGCTCACATGTGCCATCTTAAGAGGAATTATACAGATATTTAAACAAAGATATTGACGACCAAAGATGATATCCTGTTATGTTCACATAGAAGAATACTATGCGACGATAGCAGTCGCGGAATAGCAGACGTAGTTCCTAAATTCATATATATATATATATATATATATATATATATATATATATATATATATATATATGGATGTGTGTGTGTGTAAAATTTTCGACGGATTTGCATTTTTGCTCCATGCTTTTCCAACTACGATAGTGGAAATAATCGATTTTTTCATGCTTCTACGGCGGTTTTCATGTAGTTTGTGGCCATTTTCTACTGGCCAGAGAGAGAACCTATAGCTGGCTGCCATGAATAGGCAGGAAGATTGTTTTGGCCAGCATGAGAGCCAACAGCTGACTGAGACGAATGTTAACTAGCATGCTAGCATGCAAAAAAAGTCGATAGCTGCATTCGTCACAAGTGGGAAAAATTTAAATCTGCATGGCACTTTACTCCAATTGGATCATTCGATTGCTTAAACTCAACGTTGATTCTGATTCCGCAGAACTGCGTTGGTTGTGAAAATGTACCTGTTGTTAACATTCTTTTTTCATTCGGTTTTTCCAGTTACGGGTCCTTTTTTAAAGCTGATCGTTTTGTGTTCATTTTGTTTAGTTCTTTTTTCGTAACAGATTTAATGTTTAGTATAGAGCTTAGAAAAAATTTGCAGTGTGAGATAAGCAAGAAGTAAGGTATGTAGCAACATCAGCACGGCTAAGGGCACTCCTTTAAAGGCAAGGAAGGGCAAAAATATTTTAAGTCAAGTGATAGCGATTACTGTATGAGTCATACGATTTTTGAATCAAACACGGGCAACGCCGGGCCATGCAGCTAGTATATATATATATATATATATATATATATATATATATATATATATATATATATATATATGTGTGCGTGTGTATGTACAAATTTAGATATAAATAAAAATATATCTTTAAAAAAGAATGTATTTATATATGTATGTCTGTGTGTGCGTGCTTTTTTTGTGTGTATTTATGTGTGTGTATTAATAATAAATATATATTTAGTTCATCAACATTAGCACACCAGTTAGTTTCTTGCACGAAGATTAAAAAGGTGCTGATTAAAAACTGAGCGCTGAAAATTTAAATATTGATATGTATATATTAGAATTCTATAAAATATCCAAAGTTTTATCTTCAAATTCATTAGATAAGGTAATTGTTGTACAGGTGAGAAATAGACGCGTGTATAGGTGATAAACAGGTGAGAAATAGAATCGTGTCCCGGGATGTTGGAATTTTCCCGCTTCTGCTATGTCAGGTTGGCCTTTATCAGATAATTCGCCAATCCGTCATCTATTTGTCTTTATACAATTGATTGCTCCATTATTTTAACTACAACAAAAACTACTTAAGTATCAACACTGATCCTTGGAGCTTTCTTTTTTTATACAAGATTTATTCTAAATAAAATACAATTTTTGCAGAAGGCCCAAAATGGTGATGGAATGGGCAGTTGCTGGTCGCCACTTACTCTCTTTTTCCTGACTTATTCAATTCACGACCCAGTCACTCGTTACAATTTCCACATTTGCCACAAGAAATCATCCATCATCAATCAATCCTCCCCATATCACAATACCGAATACTCTCAGGGAAGCTACGCAACACCCCATGACATAAAAATTTAATGAACATAAAATTCTATATTTAAAAATCTTTAGATAATATACAATGAGCGGGAAGGGGGTGAAGTCAAAAAACAAAATTAACATCAGAAATAAAGAAAATAAAAATAACTTATGTTAGTTGGCACGTCAAAAGAATTAAGAGAGGCCGCTGTATTCTGTCTTTTTGACAGCATATAATTTTCAGGATTGTCTTTTGTAATAAAACATCGCTTTTTTTTTTACTAAAACTGCCTCGTTTTCAAAATCTAACTGCATAAGCTGATAGTGATATATGGCAAAATGTTCCTTTATTCGGGATTATTTTACTTTACATTATGGCAAAGTAATGTATCTTCCGTTGTTCAAGAGTGAATTCATATCAGAAACGTTAATAATATAAAAACTGGCACTTTTTGCTTTTGAATAAATGGCTTTTGTATTCAATTTAATATAGTTACATATATATATATATATATATATATATATATATATATATATATATATATATATATATATATTTGGATAGATAGTGAGTTTGTGACCCTGGGTTTCACGCATTAGCGTTCGTCAGACAAACTGGCAATATGTGTTGTTATTTTATATGTATTTCTTATTTATTCAGCTTTGGAATAAATGGTTTTTGTATTCAGTTTAATATATAGTTACATACACACAAACACACACACACACACACACACACACACACACACATATATATATATATATATATATATATATATATATATATATATATATATATATTATTTAGTTGGATAGATATGAGTTTGTGACCCTGGCTTTAGGGTCACAAACTCACATCTATCCAACCAAATATGTTAGCTCTTTCTCTGATATTGAGCGCTTTCTAATAAGTACCGCGCATATAATATATAAATAATTATACATGTATATATTTATTTATATTTATATACACTTTTCACACACACACACACACACACACACACACACACACACACACACACACACACATACATATATATGACTTTATACATATAGGCATATATATCTAAATGGACAAAGTCTGACAATTATTTTAAGAAATGTTTATACATCTTTTTTATAAATACAAATATTTAAGTAAAAGCTCTGTTTATGACAAACAGTATTAAAGACATTTACCGGCCTGAAGGTACGAGAAATGTTTCATAGAAAATATGCGTCCTCCGAAGGAATTCGAAACTGTATCCTATACGGAATCGTCATACTTATCTGCTCGATGCGAATCCAAAATTAAACCATTGACGCCACACATATAAAAAGAACGTATAAACATAAAAATGTCTTAAAATAATTGTCGGACTTTGTCCATTTCATAATGCGTGACGTCATTTGTTTACATTTGGATACACATTGAGCAGATATGAATGTACGAGAGAAAATCATGGAGAATTGTAGTTTAAAAACAGTAAAATCGACATTGCTTATCGAAACGCTCCGCTGTGGCCAAATCGGTAAACCACGTCAGGCTATATGACGGTCCCTTACAGGTTCGATTCCTGTCGGAGGACACAAATTTTCTATAAAAATTTCTCGGGCATTCAGGCCGGTAAATGTCGTTAATACTGTTTATTATAAACACAGCATTTACTTAAATATGTGTATCTATAAAAAGAACGTATAAACATAAATATGTCTTGAAATATATATATATATATATATATATATATATATATATATATAT